ATGCAGGTAGCTCACAAGAAGAGTTTGAAACTTCAGGACAAACTGGGACAACTCAGTTTGAGGTGGAGCCTGAAACTAACCCTGATCAATACACCCAAACAGATGATACTGATCCTGTTGAAGATCAACCACAACATAATCAAGAGCAGGAGGGTGAAGATTACCCTACTGACAATGCTGAAGTGGATCAGCAGGATAACCTGGCCCAATATCAGTTAGCCAGGGACAGAGTCAGAAGGGAAATCAGACCCCCTGCAAGGTACAGCTATGCTGACCTGATTTACACAGCACTCCTAGCTGGTTCAGAGATACATCGATCAGAACCAAATACTTATGATGAGGCAATGAGTTCAAGGGATAGAAAAGAATGGTTGGCTGCTATGGAGGAAGAGATGGAGTCATTGCACTCAAACAAAACCTGGACACTAGTTCCAAAGCCAAAGAATCAGAAATTGGTGGAGTGTAGATGGTTGTACAAACTGAAAGAAGGGATAAATGAATCTGACCCACCAAGATTCAAAGCAAGGTTAGTGGCTAAGGGCTACACTCAAAGAGCAGGTATTGATTTCACTGAAATATTTTCTCCAGTAGTTAAATTTAAAACTATTAGACTCATGCTAGCAATTGTAGTTCAACATGATTTAGAGATAGAACAACTGGATGTTAAAACTGCTTTCTTGCATGGTGAGTTGGATGAGAAAATATTCATGAGTCAACCTGTAGGTTTTAAGGATAAAAAACTGCCTGATTATGTATGCTTACTGAATAAATCTCTGTATGGACTTAAACAGTCCCCTAGACAGTGGTACAAGAGATTTGATGCATTCATAATAGGAAATGGATTCACTAGAAGCATGTATGATAACTGTTTCTATTTTGCCTGTATGAATAACATGCCAATCTACCTTTTGCTATATGTAGATGACATGTTAATAATTAGCAAGTCCATGTCTCAAATTAATGCATTAAAGGCCAAATTGAATACTGAATTTGATATGAAGGACTTAGGGAAGGCAAAGAAAATACTAGGAATGATGATTGATAGAAATAGAAGTGCACATACTCTTAAACTGCATCAGTCCTCATACTTACAAAAACTAGTGTTAAAATTTGGACTGAATGAATCCAAGGCAGTGACAATGCCCTTAGCAAACCATTTCATACTTAGTAAGTCACAGTCCCCAAAAACAGAGTCAGAAAGATTGAAAATGGAGAATGTCCCTTATTCTAATGCCATAGGTTCTGTAATGTATTCCATGATATCCACCAGACCTGATTTAGCATATGCAATATCACTATTAAGCAGGTTCATGTCAAATCCTAGAAATGAACACTGGAATGCATTAAAACGGTTGATGAGATATATTAATGGTACTGTTCAAATTGGTTTAATGTTCTGTAAAAGATATGCATCACTTGATCTGGTGGGGTATGTAGATGCAGACTTTGCAAGTGATAGAGACTCTAGGAAGTCCACAACTGCCTATTACTTTACACTGGGAGGCAACTGTGTTAGTTGGAAAGCTCAGTTGCAACCTCTGGTTGCATTATCCACTACTGAAGCGGAGTACGTAGCAGTTTCGGATGCATTCAAGGAAGCAACATGGTTGCAAGGGATCCTGAAAGAAGCTGATCTGTTGAATGGCACAACAACAGTCTACTCTGATAGTCAAAGTGCCATCCATTTGAGCAAGAACCCAGCGTATCACAAACGAACAAAACATGTGGATGTAAGGCATCACTTCGTCAGAGACCTGATTGCAAAGGGAGAGATAAATCTGTTGAAGGTACCTACTGAAGATAATCCAGCGGACATGGGAACAAAAGTGGTGACCACAGCCAAGTTCAAGCACTGCTTGAACTTGCTTCACATCAAATAAACACTTTCCTTCAGAGCTGAGAAGAAATATGGGATAGCTTACTGCACTAAAAAGAAGTCCAATAAATGAAAGGAATAAAGTTGGCTTCAAGGTGGAGACTGAAAATAATGTGAAGCCAAAACGGGGTCGTTTCACTTAAGTCCATTGGAAGCCAAAACGAGGTCGTTTCATTTAAGGCCATTACTGAAACTTAGCCGTTAGATCAAGACAGATCCAAAGGCTGAGAATTACGAATGCAAACATATATAAAGAAAGCAACAGTGATGAAAACGGAGAATGCGTTTTTTGTTAATTAGGTATTAGGGTTTGCAAAAGAGATAAAGCTAGGGTTGTTTTTGCTGGGTCTTTCTGGGTGTAATCTGGGTTGATTGTGAGAGAGGGTTGCGTTTCCTTCTAGAGGCTGGTATTTGTCCTCTGTTTTCTTGCAGATTCTTGAGAGATTCTTGAGTGAATAGGCCTTGGTTGGGTGTTAATCTATTTTGGCAGATTTGTATGATTGTCTTCTTGTAATCGTTGAATATCTTCTTAGTGCTGTGAGTGTCCGTATTTCGGAGCTCAACGTGGACGTAGTCTATCCAAGATTGGATAGACGAACCACAGTAAAATCGTGCCTTGTGTTGTGTGTGTGATTCTTTGATCTTTAATCTTGCGTGTGGTTATTTGTATTGCGAATTTGCTTATCAGGCTTAGGTTATAACAGTTTGGTTATGTTAAAATAAATTGGTGGGTATGTTATATTTATATGTTTGGTTGAGAGGAATAAATTAGTGGGTATGTTATATAGATTACTAAATTGGCCTTCTATTTTACTATCATTATTATTATTTTATATTATTTTAACCCCTTACATTTGTTAATTTAGCTAAACACTCCCACAATAAAAGTTTAAAAATTAACTAAAACACCCTAATCAGCCAAAAGGATAGTTGGCCGCTGGTCACTATCACTAGACTGCAGTTGGCAGTTGTTGGAACAACGCACAACTGGTTGGATCTGATCAGTTGTACACTAATATGACCGATTTCGGCCAAATCTATGGCTAGATTATAGCCATCGTTAAATTACAAGATAGGACCAAGTTGCGCTCCCATCCCCGTTCATTAAATATAAATTTATCAATAGATCATAACATTAATCTCATAAATATTTTAACTACCAACCTGTCCTCACCATGTTCGAGTGGGTCACAATGATCTTAATACTTCAAAGTTTGGTATTTTGTGATCCTTATAATCAATTACTTGGTTTGGTGATTCTACTCCTAACCTAAAGAAACACACGTACAGCAAATTGTGAAAATTTCCTTGTGTTTTAAAATATGTAACAAGCTTATGTTATTTAAAAATGCAAATCTAGATCCATTTTATTAGTTTTTTTAAATCTTCCTCTTCTCCCTCTTTAAGTGAACCTTATTAAACTTCGTAGGGTCGAAATCTTGTTATTTCTTCAAACGGTATCCCACTTTCATGTTAGATTTATGGGGCCAATTTAATATAATTCCTCTAGATCCAAAATTTTTTATTTATCATAAAATTTAATATTAAAAATAGAGTTAATGCCTTTTTTCCAACAAAAAAATGGCTTAAAGAAACTTTCCCACCCTCATACTTTTAAAATACCAATCTCCTACCCAAAACACAAACTCAGATAATAATTTCTTTTAAATACAATAGTTTTAATTGCAAAGACAAAAGTACCCCTAGCAGATTTCAATCCCTAACTGCAAGCCACCGCAAATCAAATTTTCACGCACGATTCTGGTTGACTCCGACCACAGTAATCTGACCTTCTACCACCAAACGAATCATCAGTCATCCCTCTTCAATAGCCTTAACAATCTAAACTGTGATAGCTCTCCAATAGCCAGCGACCGTGGTTTAGTTTTTTTGTAGAAGGGTCGACGTTCGATGAACGGTGAACAACCAAGATCTAGGATGATGGGGTTTTTGGAAAGGAGGTGCCGCTGATGTTACAAGTGGCTTTAGGTGGAATTTTTGTCAACCAAATCAATCGCAATTTGGCCTGGAAGCTCAAAGGTCATGCGAACAAAAAACCAGCAGTGGCTGGCGATTGGTGTGCTATGTGTGGTGGGAAAGTGGGGGGTTTTTGTGAGTGAAGGATGAGGAAGCTGAGGGTGGAGTCGGCACTAATCAACGGCGTTGAAATCATGTCGAATCGCCTAAACGGCATAAACCGATGGTTAGGGTTTGAGAAGATTCCAGCCAAATGGTAATATGACTATTCTACCCTTCCTTTTAACTAGCTTTTGACCATCTTGCCCTTCTTCACAACAAAAATTATTAACATATTTGTGTTTTGGATGGCAAAGTGGTATTTTAAAAGTCTGATGGTGGGAAAGTGTCATTAAACCATTTTTTGGGTGGAGGAAAACTCATTTACTCTTAAAATTAAAATACAATAATGTTAGACGTACAAACAAATCTTAAAAAAATTTGTGTATAAAATGATGTGATACAAAATGAATGAATGAGTGAATATTTTGAATTTGACTTTTTATATTTACTCATTTATTCACTTTGTGCTATATCAGTTTGTACACAAATCTTACACAGATTTGTTTTTTGATCTAAGATTATTGAAAATAATACAGCCGTCTCATGCTCATACTCTTCACTCTCACTCTCACTCTCACCCTCACCCTCACCCTCACCCTCACCCTCACCGACCATGTGGTCCATATCCCAGACACACCCTACGACGCCGTATTCCCCCTCGGGAATGTAACTGAAGAATCTGAAACGAAACAATCAAATTCGAATCACAATCAAAACAAGAAACTCTGTTTCCCCCATCTGCAACAAACCCTCTAAATATATTAGGGTACTGACTCCACCCACCCACAGCTCGGTGAGTTAAATGAGTTCGTTATTATCACCGTTATTCTTCTCTGGAAATGAAAACAGAGGAAGCGTAAACGCACTTCTTCCGCCCCAAACATAGCCAAGTTTCGTTAGTTCTCTATTTTTTTTTCGCGTTTACTTAGGTTTTGAGTTAATGGACAGGTGTTAAAATCTTGATATACGTTTCTTTCTTTCTTTTCCTGAACTTTCTTGCCTACCAAACAGAGCTGAATTTGGTTGGGAAAGTTTTAGAATGTTAATGCCTTTTGTTTCCTTTTGTTTTTTCTCAGTTTTCTTGGTAACCAATCAGAAAATTAGCTGATTAGTTTTGGCTATTTGTGTTTTGAGATATATGCATTAAGTGATAAAGTTTTGTTATGGGAAAGAAAATGGCTTGTCAAGCTATAGAGGCGTGGNTTTCGGCCAAATCTATGGCTAGATTATAGCCATCGTTAAATTACAAGATAGGACCAAGTTGCGCTCCCATCCCCGTTCATTAAATATAAATTTATCAATAGATCATAACATTAATCTCATAAATATTTTAACTACCAACCTCACCATGTTCGGGTGGGTCACAATGATCTTAATAGTTCAAAGTTTGGTATTTTGTGATCCTTATAATCAATTACTTGGTTTGGTGATTGTACTCCTAACCTAAAGAAACATACGTAAAGCAAATTGTGAAAATTTCCTTGTGTTTTAAAATATGCAACAAGCTTATGTTATTTAAAAATGCAAATCTAGATCCATTTTATTAGTTTTTTTAAATCTTCCTCTTCTCCCTCTTTAAGTGAACCTTATTAAACTTCGTAGGGTCGAAATCTTGTTATTTCTTCAAACGGTATCCCACTTTCATGTTAGATTTATGGGGCCAATTTAATATAATTCCTCTAGATCCAAAATTTTTTATTTATCATAAAATTTAATATTAAAAATAGAGTTAATGCCTTTTTTCCAACAAAAAAATGGCTTAAAGAAACTTTCCCACCCTCATACTTTTAAAATACCAATCTCCTACCCAAAACACAAACTCAGATAATAATTTCTTTTAAATACAATAGTTTTAATTGCAAAGACAAAAGTACCCCTAGCAGATTTCAATCCCTAACTGCAAGCCACCGCAAATCAAATTTTCACGCACGATTCTGGTTGACTCCGACCACAGTAATCTGACCTTCTACCACCAAACGAATCATCAGTCATCCCTCTTCAATAGCCTTAACAATCTAAACTGTGATAGCTCTCCAATAGCCAGCGACCGTGGTTTAGTTTTTTTGTAGAAGGGTCGACGTTCGATGAACGGTGAACAACCAAGATCTAGGATGATGGGGTTTTTGGAAAGGAGGTGCCGCTGATGTTACAAGTGGCTTTAGGTGGAATTTTTGTCAACCAAATCAATCGCAATTTGGCCTGGAAGCTCAAAGGTCATGCGAACAAAAAACCAGCAGTGGCTGGCGATTGGTGTGCTATGTGTGGTGGGAAAGTGGGGGGTTTTTGTGAGTGAAGGATGAGGAAGCTGAGGGTGGAGTCGGCACTAATCAACGGCGTTGAAATCATGTCGAATCGCCTAAACGGCATAAACCGATGGTTAGGGTTTGAGAAGATTCCAGCCAAATGGTAATATGACTATTCTACCCTTCCTTTTAACTAGCTTTTGACCATCTTGCCCTTCTTCACAACAAAAATTATTAACATATTTGTGTTTTGGATGGCAAAGTGGTATTTTAAAAGTCTGATGGTGGGAAAGTGTCATTAAACCATTTTTTGGGTGGAGGAAAACTCATTTACTCTTAAAATTAAAATACAATAATGTTAGACGTACAAACAAATCTTAAAAAAATTTGTGTATAAAATGATGTGATACAAAATGAATGAATGAGTGAATATTTTGAATTTGACTTTTTATATTTACTCATTTATTCACTTTGTGCTATATCAGTTTGTACACAAATCTTACACAGATTTGTTTTTTGATCTAAGATTATTGAAAATAATACAGCCGTCTCATGCTCATACTCTTCACTCTCACTCTCACTCTCACCCTCACCCTCACCCTCACCCTCACCCTCACCGACCATGTGGTCCATATCCCAGACACACCCTACGACGCCGTATTCCCCCTCGGGAATGTAACTGAAGAATCTGAAACGAAACAATCAAATTCGAATCACAATCAAAACAAGAAACTCTGTTTCCCCCATCTGCAACAAACCCTCTAAATATATTAGGGTACTGACTCCACCCACCCACAGCTCGGTGAGTTAAATGAGTTCGTTATTATCACCGTTATTCTTCTCTGGAAATGAAAACAGAGGAAGCGTAAACGCACTTCTTCCGCCCCAAACATAGCCAAGTTTCGTTAGTTCTCTATTTTTTTTTCGCGTTTACTTAGGTTTTGAGTTAATGGACAGGTGTTAAAATCTTGATATACGTTTCTTTCTTTCTTTTCCTGAACTTTCTTGCCTACCAAACAGAGCTGAATTTGGTTGGGAAAGTTTTAGAATGTTAATGCTTTTTGTTTCCTTTTGTTTTTTCTCAGTTTTCTTGGTAACCAATCAGAAAATTAGCTGATTAGTTTTGGCTATTTGTGTTTTGAGATATATGCATTAAGTGATAAAGTTTTGTTATGGGAAAGAAAATGGCTTGTCAAGCTATAGAGGCGTGGACAATTAGTGAACTAGTCGGTGCATATCTTGATCTTTCTATAGCTTATTTACTCTTATGTGGATCAACACTTGCTTATATTATGTCAAAATTTCTCGGTTTGTTTGGATTGAGTTTGCCTTGTCCTTGCCATGGACTTTTCGGTAACCCCAGTAAGATTAATTACAACAACTGCTTGCAAAGTCTGTTAGTGGATTGCCCTCCAGAGAAAATATCTAATGTTCAATTCTTGGTTAAGACCAAGTTCCCTTTTGATTCGGTGTTCGCGAATAACTTGAATCCCCAATTGAAAATAGAGAGAAACATTGAGGGTAAAGCGTCATGTGGCTCATTTTCGCGAGAAGTGATTGAGGGAGAATCTCCTGTGGAAGAAGGAAGTTTTGATGTTAAAGGGAAGGCGATTACTAGTCGGAGTTTAAGTTCTGGTATCAGGCGTCGCGAAAATGCTTCTGCTGATAATGATAAGTCTCCATCAGTTTCATCTCTTGATCCATTATTGTCGGATGAACAGGCTGTTCTGGGGTCTCCTGCCAGTGTTAGTAAAATAGTAAATGAGATCACAGAATGCAGCTCAGTTCCAGTTCATGTGGGAAGTGATAGTCTTGATTGTAAGTGTAAAATTATGCTCTGAAGTTTAGTTTCAGCATAAAATTGTTATTGCTATTTGATTGTATTTAACTTAGAGTGAATTAACATTTTTTCTCATGATGTTCTAACTATACTTCGAACTCGTTATAAACTCGACAGTGCATCATTGTGGTGTCTTTTTTGTGAGCATAATTATCTGAAATACAAAATGAAGAGAGTCTGAAGTTCCATAATTCCATATTCGTGTTGTTATTAGTTCCATATTATTTTGACTGTACACCGCTTCTTTTATAATAATGTAGAATTTGCAATATGGTGTGAGTCTTTTTGGTGGCTAATAGATCACCTTATAGACAAATTGAAGAGAGCCAAGTTAAATCATTACCTTGTATATGAATGCCAACAAATTATTATCGAATATATCTTTTGTATTAGGATAGAGCCTGCATTAATTATGTCTGAATGTTCATACTTTTAAAAAGTTTATGAAAGTTCATATTTGTAAAGGTTCTTTGTTGTCTTAATGTAGGGCCACCCCTTTTGTTAATATCTATGAATATTGGTTACTTTTTACTGAATATTGAATTTTAGAGGTGAATCTTAGCATGCCCGATTTGAGCCTTAAAATATTTTTGTTAGACTTTCCAATTTTAGAGTTACAGTGTTAATTAATAGGAATTAATGAAATACATCAATCATAATAACACTGGATTTCAATTTACTAAATGGCTGGTTGTACTGGTTGCATATGTCAGGAATTAAGGTTTTTATATTGCTTCATGTCGAACTTTTAGGTGGTAAAGCTTAAGTTTTAAAGTCTTTTCCATCAGGCACAAAAACTACATGCTTTTGCTGTGGTTTGACACGTGAAACAGAATGCAGTTACACACTTACATTTCCATTTGTTATTTCTGCATATTTTGATGCTGTTTTATGTGGATGGTTTTATTATTTTAGACGAAAAGGGAGATTTTAAGGAGGAGATTGGTATGCTTAATGAATTGAACGAACCTCTTGATGAAAATAAAGTAAATGAGAAGGATGTGTTACTTGTTCAAGAGTTCAACTACAATTTGCAAGGGCAGCTGGAATTTGATGGCCTTGATAAAGATGCAATTAGAATTTTGGAACAAGCACTGGAAGAACAGCTTGCCGCTCGTTCAACTCTGTATCTTGAACTGGAGAAAGAGAGAAGTGCTGCTGCTATTGCAGCAGATGAGGCCATGGCTATGATACTTCGTCTACAAGAGGAGAAGGCATCAATTGAAATGGAAGCTAGGCAATACCAGAGGATGATAGAAGAAAAATATGCTTATGATGCTGAAGAAATGAACATTCTCAAAGAGATCTTGGTAAGGAGAGAGAGGGAAAGGCATTTCTTAGAGAAAGAAGTTGAAGCTTTCAGGCAAATGTTTTTCGCAAATGAGCAGTTGGAGGCTGATATGGAGGATACAGCTTCCACACTGGAGTGCAAGGCTTCTTCCTCATTATATTTTAATGAGGATCCAGCAATGATGCTACTGAGAATTAGTAAATCTTTTGGAGAGAAGAAAAAGATTAAAGGTACAAATGATGTTCCTGAGAATGATGTTACATCTACTGAGTCACAAAATTATACTCTCCCTTTAGGGAAAGAATTACCAATTCCAGAATTGGTTGAAGATACTGAATCTTCAAAACTAGGATACATCCATGGACATCCCAGTTTTAACAAACGTTATCAGCAACCTTCAAGAAATAGTGATGAAATTTTTCAAGATTTACAAGAGAAGGGGATAATGTCCATGGACAAGAATCCAATTGATCTACAAAGAGAGGTGCAAGCTGATGACAACAGTTCATCCCAAGGTTTGACATCAAAGACAATAGAGACTTGTGGTGCAGCTAATATTGGTTCTCCATGTAGTGCTAGTAATGTGGAGAAGCATAAAAAACTTTCACAAAGCTTAGTCAAAACTGAAAGAGACCTTTGTGTTAACCATGTGCCTGTCATTGGCAATGAGCTTGTTATGTTTAATGAAACTAGGGGAAACAAAAGTGAAGACCTGTCAAATAATGTCACGGTGGATATTCCTATATCATGTGATAGTACAACTATAAATAGCTCAGAAACTGCAACCGACATTAAGAGAAGTAAATCAGACATATCTAGTAGTAGATTGCTGCATATGGGTTCCCAGCAGAGCAAAGATGTGCTTTCCAATTTGCGGAGAAATTCTATGTCTGCTTTAGATTATGAAAGGTTGAAAATTGACAATGAAGTTGGGTGGCTTACAGAAAGACTAAGGGTTGTGCAAGAGGGAAGAGAGAAGCTCAACTTGTCAATAGGACGTAGGGACAGGGAAAAAGTTCAGTTGCAGCTTCTGGAGGATATAACAATTCAACTTCAGGAGATTCGACAGTTAACTGAACCTGGAAAGGCAGTACGTGATGCCTCTTTGCCCCCATTGTCAGCTAAGGTCTGTGTTAAAGTTTCCATTTGCTAGATTCAATTGACTATATATTTGTGTAGTCTCATTTTTGTTTTCTTGACCATCAATTTCTTCTGCCAATAGTCTAGTTGTTTAGTATTTTCTTTAGCATACAGTTGTTATGCATTAAACTGAAGAAAAAACCCCTATAGTTGAGTGGTATCCTTGCTGATCCCCTGTGTAAGAGTTTTAAGAGTTGGAAGCTTTCTCCGTGTTTACATTCTACCATTGTAATATTGAGGTCTACAATAGGCAATGTTGTCCCTACTAGACTTTCTTATCATATTTGGATGTCTGTACGATATGCATAGGGGGAATCTGATAGAGATTTGTTGTGAAGGAGAAAACAATGTGAAGAAAGTAGAAACCTGCCTACTGATTCTTTAGTACGTGTGAAGCATTTTATATAATCTAGTCACAAGTCTCTACTTTTCCTTTTTGCTGTTTTACAAATACTCTGCTGAAGCTTGTAGTCTGTAACTCATCTCTGAACTATTGTTGCTGATTGCCAAAGCCTAATTTGTTCAGGTTATTTTAAAGAAAAAGGCCAAAAGACGCACACAAAGTGTTTCTTTAGGTGAGCAAAGGAGCGCGTGAACAAAATACAACAGGGACTGTAGGAGTTTCAGGGGAGCTACATATACTGCTTTGTACGTATACATGGAGGAATCTTTGGTTAATTAAGTCGTCACTTTTAGTTCTTTGGGTCTGGATACTTGTTTGGCCTCACCAGTTCTCTTCAAACATATCACGTGATGCCTAAGTTCTGCTGAGAGCTAAACTGTGGCGTTTTGATCTCTTCTTTGGGTAGCCTCTTGATGAAAGCCTTTGAAAGCATGCAATTTTGTTTTTGCCATGGAGATTTCAAGTTTCCGGCAGCTGGAGTGTGTGCTGGAGGATGACATATGTAGGTATACTACTTTGATTAGCAGTGATAGGAATACGACTTCAACCGCGTATTAGACATTTTACTCGACCAAGTTTTTGAACTATGATTGCAATAAAGATGGATTGTGTCATGATCACTTGTTTGTACTTGATAATTGTATTATTGCAATTATGTTAGTTGTACCGGAGAATGAAAATTTAAGTGTTGAATAACAGTAAGTGTTTAGTAGTAGTTCTTTTGAAGTACTAAATTTTGATTCTTATTATTTTATGAGGAAAAATGTTAGTCTTACTCACTCCTCTTACTCATTTCTCTTACTCAGCTTTGTTAAAATGACATATGATATCCGTACTATGCTTAGGATATCCGTACTATGTTTTATATTTACAAATGCGAGTAAGAGAAGTGAGTAGAGGAGTGAGTAAAGCTAACATTACTCTTTTATGAGTATTACCATTTAGCAGTACTTTGACCTCTGCATATTTGTACCTTTTTAGTATGTCTTGGTCTTTCTGGGGTTGGTCAATTCTTGTTCAGATTATTGAAGTTGGATTGGTGAAGGTATTTGGCTTGGGTCATAAGTCATAATTATTTGATGAATATGAAGTATAAAAATAACACAAGTCTCACGAACAAGATAAAGAGGAAATTTAACTAGGAATCGAAAGAGATGACAAAAAAAATATTGAAGAAATTTGAATAACTAGCAAAAAAAGGAAATTTGGAGAAAAGCCTCGCGCGTTTGAGGAATTAGAATTAGTAAAGTACACTCGTTGGACCATAGCCTCCATTTTGTCCGATTCTGTTAATGAAGCAAAAATAACACAAACCCCATAGACAGCCACCTACCGCTTCTAACGGCCACGTGGCATTGCTGGAGCCTTCCACACCACTAGAGCCTTGGAGGCCATCACTTAGGCCACAAGAAGGCCTTGCGACGGCCGCTAAAGGCTTGAAACCTTCAAGTGTGCTGATACAGGCCAAACAGGCCTCTCGGCAGCCGCCAAGGTTGGTCGGCCTCGACGTCGGTGAGGCCAATGGCATTTCTTGACAAGTGAGCGAGACGAAGAGGTGGGAGGAGATAATGGAGGAAGTAGAGGGTAAGAGGAAAATAAAGGGGGTGGAAATAATAAGGTTGCGATTCTCCTAAGAGCGATGGATACTTTTAAAAGTTAAATTACAGGTTTACCAAGTAATGTTAACAAATAGGGTTAGGTCCTATTTTTAAAACTTGTGGCGGTAACTGTAATATTGAAACACGGGGGGTTTAGTAAACATACCTATGTAACTTTAACTTGAAGGGGGCATTTAGTTCAGGAATATTAGATTACTGGGATGTTGGATTACTGGAAGAAGATTACCTTGAAGATTCTGGGAATCTTTAAGAAAATGTGTTTGGTTAGTGGTGGTATGTTATATTAATATGGTTGGTTATGGAGAATAATTTGATGGGTATGTTATTTAATATACTAAATTATCCCCTTTACAATATTAAATAATATTATTTTTTATTAATTTTTGAATAATTTTTTTAAACCCCTAATATTTCAGATTTAGTTAAACAACCCTGCTTATATAACTTTAATTTATTACGAAATCACCCTCACCTCCTGCCGCCACCGTAGACCACCTCCAGGTCTCCAAAAGTCCCCATCAGCAACTCACCGTGACTAAGGCTTTGATATGGCCATTTTCGGCCATTTTGATGGCCGAAAACGCCATATCAGGCCAGATCTGGTCGAAAATGGCCAATCGTATTCTGGCCATTTTCGGCCAGATCTGGGCAGATCTGGCCTGTTAACGCCATAACATTCAGCCGAATAGATCTGCCGTTAACTCTAGATCGGCCTGATATGGCCGTTTTCGGCCATCAATATGCAAAAACGGCTATATCGATGACTCCCGAGCCTCCCACTCAAACTCGTTCTTTTTTAGGGACTCCACGAGTTTTTTCCAAGGCGGTCCGTGTTGGTTGGCCGCTGTACGCGGTGGTGGCTGGTTGCCGTGGTAGTGGTGGCTGAGTGGCAGTGGTGTGTTGCTGATGGCAATGGCTGACATTGTTTTAATACAGGACATTATGGTCTAAAATTTTAGTTAAACAGGGGTAAAATTGAAATAGGATATTATGTAAATTTATTTTAAATGAGGGCATTATTGTCCAAAATTTTCATAATAATGGATAAATTGTAACAAAAAGGACAACCCTGGTAATCTCAAAATACCTAAGAAAATGAAGGTAATCAGATTACCTCCAATATTACCAATAGTAACTACTATTGGTATTTGAATTACCGGAATCTTATATTACTTAACAACCAAACGTGATAATCAAGTAATATCATGATATTACCCCAATACTGACATTACCGCCAACCAAACGCCCCAAAGGGTTAGCAATAATAACGATTGGTTCCAATTTTGTGTTTTGGGAAAAGTTTTTTGAAAAAAGTAAAAAAAAAGTTGAATTGGGCGTATTACGATGTGGATTTACAAATTAAAAATACCCCCTATGTTTGTTTTTTTACAAACACCCCTTATATAAAATATTAAAATTAACAAAAACACCCCCATCCACCCTCAAATACGGACAACCGCACCACCGCCGGAGGTGGCCGGAGTCGTAACAAAAACATTAAAAATATTAGGGGTATTTAATTGAATTAACAAATTTAGGGGTTTAAAAAATATTGAATAAAGTTGAATAATATTGTGAGTTTTTTGGTATTTTACTGTTTAATTTTTTGGGAATACTAAAAGTAGTATTCCCAAAATCCAACCAACGAAGCGATGTATACATCAAATCTCTAACTAAATGCACGCATTTGGTAGAATCGTTAATGAATTTTTTGTTTTCAATCCATCGTATCAAATAACTTTACATTTCTAAACCAGTCCTTCAATTGTGTATCTTTCAGTGTTTATGGCTACCGTTCGACAGCGGGTATCAGTTGCTGACATTATTGGTTAGTGAGAGTTTTTTTGTTAATATATAAATTTTATTATTGAGAAAAGTGAAATTTTTTGTTATTTTTAAACTTTTATTAAGAAAATAATTTTTAATGTTTTGAGTTGAATAAAATAAAATTAGGTTTTGTATAATATTAAACAAAACCAATTAATTTTTATTTTTTTTAATAGAATACGAGGATATAGTGTTGAATAATGTTTCAAACACAGCTAATTTATTTCTAATTTTATTAGGACTCTTAATGGACTCTTCCTCTACATCGGACTCCATGTTCTTCTTTGTCACCATCTCCACCACTGCCATAGCCTGCCGTTTTCGGTCACCACCTCCAGCTTCACCCTCAGCCTTCGTTTTCAGATTAACCCAGCCTTAGCCTCCCCATATTCGGATTAACTTTTTCTTTTCCTTGCTTAACAACATAAATCCAATCAAAAAGTGAAAACTTTTAATGATAATTGTACCAGTTTTTTAATTTATCCCGTTAACCTCTCCTCCATCTCCACCCTTTCGCGGTCATCACCTTTACAAATCATACAACAAATCTGCCTTTTCTGCTGTGAAACAAATGTGAAGCAATTTCCTGTCATTCTTTTGGTTTTAGAAATGGATATGTTGTTTTTTTTCCGGTCAACCATCTCAACGATTTCAACCTATTTTTCATTTCCTTAGCTTTTCATCGGCATTGAAGATGTCTTCGTTTTACACCAGAAAAACAATTAAAAAAATATGCTTTTATTAAGTATGGGCAAACACCATAAAAATGATATACTTGATGTTTACAAACAAGAGAAGGACAAGCTTCATAGATATTACATAAACTCCCCATCTCGTTTTAATTTAATGTAACAGTGAGAGTGATTCAGACATATAGTTCCTGCAAGCTGGTCTATCGTGATAGTTGGGAATTGAAAAGGATATAGTTTTCTGGGAAGGTACACTACGAATATATTGTCCATGTAATTGTCAAGTCTTGGCTTGTGGGTTGGAACATAGACATGGCAAGAGTTTCTTTTATGCATCTAACATGTGGAATTATTGAGAATATTAATGAACGAATGGGTATTTTCGGTCGGTTTCTCTTTTACTAAACAATTTGATTATAATATATGTCTAACTGCTTTGGAAAGAAGAATTTCGCGAAATGATATTTGAAGCTTCGGGACTATCTCAGGATGTCATGATGTGAATCCAACTCCTAACCAGCCCATTAGTTCCCATCCGCCCAAAGAGCCCATGGAAGATGTCTTTATGGTCCTAAAGTTCATTCGGCCCAGACTAATTAGAGAAGAAGAAAGAGGTAAGCCCAACATGATTCGGCCCAAAGGATTTAGTGCTGCAAGGCATTTCAACCTATCAATCAATTCCGCCCAAGAGAATTAAGTTGCGTTAGGAGGGGCACGGGCCGTGGACCCCTGTCTCCGGCCCGCCCGAAGCCCAAGGAGATTTCTTTAATATATATATATATATATTAAACATAAATACCATATCATCAAAAATAATTAATCTATAATGTACATATTAAATATAAAAATCATCATACTAAATTGATAATATATTACAATATGTACAGTCGCTGTAATCAAAAGATTCAATATACGTATCAAGATTCAAAACTGAGCTGCCAAAAGAACCCACCCCCAATTATACATATTAGTATTTTTTTTGTTAAAATGCCCACCCTCAACAAGTGTTGGATCCGCCCCTGATTAATGATTATAATAATCCAATATCAAATGATATTTAATACATTATATATATATATAAATATATTATATATTAACAGTATAATATTATATATTATTGTATTAAGTAATAAGTATTAACATATATAATGTACTTTTCTTATTAATGTATCACATATGATATATTATACATATATATTAATAAAATTTTAAATAATTATTTATAATAATTCTAAATAAATAGCTATCACAATTTAACAAAGCATTAGGTAATCAAATTGAAATAATGATTCATGAGGGACAAAATATATATATATATATATAATATATATATATATATTTATATATATATTTATATATATATATGATTTTTTATCGTATACATCATGCAAAACAACAACAATTATTACATATATTACATATATATTATGTATTAACATAAGATTATAGATGATAGCATATTATGTATAAATTATAATGTACAACATATATATGTTATATACATTATACTTATATAGTATATACCATATATAATATACAGTGTAT